CGGGCCGCGGGTGCGCGGCGAGAGAGCCCGGCCTGAGCGCAGGGCCCGCCTGGCCGGTGCGGGCCGCGCGTGGGGCTGGCGCGCGCCAGGGCCCCGGGGCGCAGGGGGGCGGCGGGAGGGCGGGGCGGGCGGCGGGGCGCGCGGGGCGCGTGTGCGCGGCGCGCGCCCCGCAGCTCTCAAGGACACCTCGGGGAGGCGGGGAGCCGGCCCGGTGACGTCACCGCGCGCCCCAGTGATAATCGCCGGTGCCGAGCCCGGCGCGGAGACGCGCGGAGGCAGCGGCGGCGGCGGGACACGCGCGGCCGCGGGCGGCAGGGCGCAGGCCCGGCGCGCCGACCCCCGGACTCGGCGCCCGCGGCGGCCCCGGCCGTGCCCCCGGGGCGGCGAGCGGGCCCGCGGCCGAGCAGGCGGACGCGCGCGCGGGGAGCAGCCGGCGGCTCCCGCCCAGGACGGGTAACTGCGCTCGAGCGGCCGCTCGCGTCTCCGTCTTCCCGGGGCCGCTCGAGCGCCTTCGCGCGCCGGGGAGGCCGGGCCTCAGCCCCACCGCAGGCTCCTCCCGGGGCCGCCTTCCCCGGGCGCGGGGCCGGGCCGGGCCGGGCGGCGGGCGGGAGGCGGCGGGGCGCACAGCCGCTCCCCCTCTGGGCACCGGCTCCGGGGCGCCCGGGGCTCGCTGCGCCCCCGCCTCGCCGCGGAAGCGGGAGCCGCGCGGGCCCCTCGGGGTGGGGGGCGGATCCGGGCCGGGCCCGAGCAGCACCGCCGGGGGGGGGGTGGGGGGGGTGGGGGGGGCGCAGCGCCCCCCCCGCGCCCCGCGGCGAAGACGCCGGAGCGTCCGCGCCCTTCGGAGGACCCCGCGAGCCCGCGCCGCCGCCCGACCCGGCCGCAGCCCGAGGGCCGCTCTGCGTGTTCACAGCGGACCTTGATTTAGTGTCGACACAATTAAGGCACGCGGTGAATGCCAAGAGAGGCGCCTCCGCCCGCCTTTCTCATGGAAATGCCCGCGCGGGCGGCGCGCGCCCCTCCCGCGGGGAAGGCCGGCCCGGCCGCGGCCCCTCCGCCGCCGCCGAATCCGACGAACAATGCGGGGCCGGAGGGCGCCGGGCGGCCCGGAGCCGGCCCGGGACACAAAGGGCCCGAGCCGCGGGCGTCCGGGCGGAGGCGGCCGGGGAGGCTGCCCACCCGCCCGCGTCGGCCACGAGTGTCCCCGGAGCAGCGCCGAGGCGGCCGCGCGGGCGGCGGGACCGGAGGGCGCCCCGGGGGCTCGGGGCCCGGAGACAAAGGCAGGCCCGGGGAGCCGCGAGGTGGGGGCGCGGGGGCTGCGCGCTGCGCGGGGAGGGCCGGCCCCTGCTCGCCCGGCGCTGTCCGCGGTGCTGGCGGCGGGCGGCCCCCGCAGGACCGCAGCGCCGGGGACGGGGCCGGTCGCGTCGGGGGCCACTCGCCCCACGGCGTCGCCGGGCAACGCGGGGCCTGCGGTCGGCGCGCAGCTGCCAGGGCCCGGCTGGCCACCGCGCGGCGGGGGCGACGCGGAGCTCCCGGGACGCGCCCGCGGCCGCAGCGCCGGGCGGGGGGCGTCCACCCCGGGCCGGGCCCCGCGCGGGAGGGGCCGCGGCCCGCGCCCGCACCTCGCCCGGCGCCGCGGGGCTGGCACGTGAGGCTCCGCGCCGGGAGGCGGCCGGCCCCGCCCCCACCCTCTGCAGCGCGCGACGCCCACTCGCCCGGCGGCGGGCGGCTCCGCTCCCCGAGCCGGCGCCCCCTGGCGGCCCCGCGCGCCCGGGCCCGGGGCCCCGCCCGCCCGCGCCCCCAGGCCTGGCTTCGCGGGCGCCCCCTTTCCTGCAAGCCCGCGGGCCGGGCGGCGCCCCTGGCCAAGACCCAAGCCCGGCGGGGACCTCCGCCTCCCCCTAGCTCCCCCAGGCCTGCCCCTCGGCCCTGGCCGCGCTGGCCACCCCTGCCCCGCGGGGCTGCAGGCCTGCTTCCAGGCTCAGATCGCAGGCTCCGCGGGACCCCATCGCCCCACCCTGCCCAGAGGTGGGGTCCTGCGGCGCCTAGAACAGGGCCCTCCCACGGGCCGTCCCCCCGGGACAGGGGCACTGTGGTCGCCTGAGCCCCGGGCAGCGGAGCCCCCACCACGCGGACGGCTCTGACCTGGGCCCCTCTCCCTGCCCTGGGAAGGGAGGCTGACAGGCCAGCAGGCCCCCGGGTCACCCCAGGACAGCGCGGAAGGGACTGGAGGTCCGGGCATCCAATCTGGCCGCCTCTTGGCTGCTCAGACGCCCTGATACAAGGCCTTCCCCAGAAAGCCCCCCCCACCACCACCCCCCTGCCCGGGATGCGGGTCCAGGCGGAATGGGCCACGGGGCGGGGAGCAGGAGGGGAGGCCGCCGTCGCTGGGGGCCAGCTGCTCCCTGGGCAGGCCTCTGGGGGCTCCCAAGGGAGAGGCCTGAAAGCCCTGGGGGGCCCGTGCCCCCGTCCCCACTGCAGCCCCTCACCACGGCCACCAAATGTGGGAGCCCCTGGGCCCACCTCTGCAGGCCCGGGCATCCAGACCCCACCCCACGCCGGCGGCCACATCACCCACATCACAGCCACGCACCAGGCACACGTCAGCCACACACCAGCTGCATCACAGCCACGCACCAGCCACACACGTCACGTGTGTCGCACGCTGTCGCGTGTCACACGAGCACCATGCTGTGTGGGCACAGGCACAGTCACACTCCCGATCACGCTCCCTCCTGCAGACGCCCCCACGGGGGGGGGGGGGGGGGGGGGGGGGCGGGCGGGTCCTGGTGGCAGCGCCTGGGCCAGAACCCGGAACTCCCCGTGGACCGGCCGGGCAGCAGCCTGGCGCCCAGCCTGGGCTGCCCCAGGGAGCCCACCCAGCAAGGAGCCAGTGGTGAGGGACGCCCCTGCCTGCGCGGAGCCTGTGGAGCACAGGCCGCCGCCGGCCCAGCCCCTGCCGCTGCCCTCCTCCCAGGCAGGGCTCCCAAACCAGGACAGGCAGCCGGGCCTGCGCGCCTCCTGGCCAGCCCCTCGGCCTAGTGGACGCCCGCCCTCCGGAGCCCACCAGGCAGCATGGGGGCAGACCCCAGCCTCCCAGGGTGGCTTCGCTGCAGTCAGGCAGCCACAGGGGACCACCCCGGGAGGCTGGCAGTCCACTCGCCCGCCCTGGCCAGGGGCCCCAGCAAGTCTCCCGGGAGCTGGCCGCCTCTGGCTCGCTAGGCCCAGGGCAGGGAGGTGGCTCAGTGGGCAGCTCAGGCACAGCTACAGCCGCTGGCCCCTCCCAGCTGCCCTGCCCACTGCCAGCCCCCTGCCCAGTCCCCACAGCTGGGCCTGTGGCTGCTGGAGACTGAGCCAGACCCTGACCCGCCGCCGGGCCTCTGACCTCCCCTCTGGGCAGGGCTCCCGGCCGAGGCCTGCGCCTGTCCCCTCCTCCCCAGCCCCTGCCCGGGACTACTGTCTGCTGGCCCTGGGCGCCTGCCGTGACCAAGGCCTTGCTCCGGCTGCCGCCTGGCGCTCAGCAGCAGGCCCTGCCGCCGGGAGGCAGTCAGTGACCAGAGCTGGGAGTCCCAGTTTCAGTGACCTCGGGCTTGGTGGTGGCGGGCGGCCCCGTGGGGCCTGCGGGGAGGGAAGCCACCTCCGGCGAGCACCATGAGGAGGGCCAGGCGCCGGGCCTAGTGCCCCAGGCGCGCGGCCAGCAGCCCCTGGGAGTCCCCGACAGGCATGTGCGGGGCCCCCTGCCGCCCAACCCCGTCCCCCAGCGGCGCGCGGGGCAGCCCGGCCCTGGTTGGTCGCTGGTCTGTCCTGGGGAGGCGCAGCGTCCCCTCGGCACCCGCCAGCCTCACTACCTCTCCCCCAGGGCCACGGGTCCCAGGGCCTCTCCTGCCCTAGGAAGGACCCGCGGCCTTGGCTCTCGGTGCCGCCTGCACGGAGCCCGCTGGCCCTCGCCCTCCTCGCCGAGCGTTCTCAGACCCTTCCAGCCTGAAGCCCCCGCCTGCACCCTGGCCCTGTGGTCTCCCCGCAGGTCTCCCCAGGGCGCCGTGGCTTCCCAGAGCCACCATCACCTGCGTGCCCTCCCTGCCGCCCGTCCCCTCCCTCCAGGTCACTCTGGACGCCAGCCGCGGCCTTCCCGAGGGGCCCTAGCACACCCGGGGGCCACTGCCCCCCAGCACCCCCTCCAGGACCCCCCCCAGGGCACGGCCCTGAGCTCCCTCCCTCAGCTCTCCACAGCTCCTGCAGGCTCGCGGCCGTCTAGGGCAGGGGCAGGGCCCTGGGCCAAGGTGGGTCATCTGGGGCAGGACGCGGCGGGATCTTGGGGATGCTGTGGGGGGAAGGGTCACGGCTGCCTGCCGCAGCCAGGGGCCCAAGCCTGGGGAGCACCGGGTCTTCGACGAGGCCCTCGGAGCGGGCGCGAGGACACCGGCCGTGCTCAGGGGTCAGGGACGAGCGGCCAGCACTGGCTAAGCAGGTCCTGTTCGTCGGGACTCGTCCCCCCAAGGGACATGCTGCCGGCAGCCCGAGAGACGCCGGCCCCGACGGACGGCAGCGTGGCTCCGAAGGGTCCTTGTCGTTTGCCTTTTCCCGGCCTTTCGGCAGGAAACGGAAGCGAGACGCGCGGCGAGACGCGGCCTGGGACAGGGCCGGAGCCCGGCGAGCCCCCGCCCCGCAGAGCGCGCAGGCGGCCAGACGGGCCGGGACCCGCGCACTCCGGCGCGCCGAGGAGGAGCGTCTGACGGAAGCACGCACCGCCGAGGAAACGCCCGGTTCTTACACTCGTTTATAAAGCGACAGAGGGCGGGAGCGGGGGTCCCGTACAGCGGCGTCAACGACTGTGAATGTAATAAAAACATAATTTCTGCCAAAGAAACTCTTCGGGCTGCGCCAGGTGTTCCGCGTGCAGGAGACTCCGCCGCGCGAGGCCGGGCTGGCCGGCGCGCTGGCAGAACACGCCGTCCCGGGGCTCTGCGCCGCCGCCGCGCAGGCCGCACGCGGGCCCGGGAGCCGGTGCCGACGCGTCCTCCTGCCGTCCTCGGCCGGCGTGCGCAGGCGGGGCCGTCCTCACGGCTTGCTTCGGCTCTGCCGCTCCTGCGAGGGGACCGGGGACAGGCTTACCGCGCGGGAGGCCCGCGACGGCGGGGTCGGGGGCAGCGGCTCCGGCCCGCCGGCGTGGAGGGGACGGCTTCCCCGGGCAGTGCCGAGGGACAGGGTCGGCGAGGCCCCGGCGCGCTCAGCCACCGAAGGCGCCAACCCTTGATTCTCCCGGGCGCTCCGCCCCAACCCGCTGCCCGCCGGCCCCCGCCGGCCGTCCGGGACTGGGCTGCACCCGCAGGGTCGGGGCACTGGGTCTTAGAGACGCTGGTGGGCCGGGGTCGAGTGAGCCCCACACTCACCGTGACCTCAGAGCCCAGTGAGCGTGGGCTATGTTGGTCGGGGACCCCCGAGTTTCCCAGCAGCCACCCGGCGTCTCACACCTGCGCAGCCCAGCCCAACGGGACGCCCAGGAACACCCTAGGCCCCTCCTCTCCTGCAGGGCGCGGGGGCCGCCCGCCCCCGGCTGGGGCTGCTGACAGGGCCGCCTGCTTCCCGGGCGCTGGGCGTGCATGGAGGCGACGCTGTGGCCAGCCACGGGGCGCTGAGCCCCCGGCTGAGGGGGAGGACGGCTGGAAGGCACAGCTGCACGCCCGCCCCCTGCCCTCGCTTCCCACTGCCGGGCCAGCTGAGGGGCGGGAGCCGGGCCCCCCACAAGGAGGGCGTGCTCAGGTGGGCATCACCTGCCCGCAGTCCCGGGCCCGCCCACCATGCTTCTCACTGGTCCCGACGGACAGAGACTGGGACCCAGGAGGGTGGGGGGCGCCAGAGCAGAGACCGAGCCGCCCTGTGGCAGGACGGGCGCCTCCTCGGGCGAGGGGGCGGATGCGGCGCGGGGAGCCGCCCCCACTCACCTTGCGCACCGCCTCCTCCTCCTCCTGCCGCCTCTCGTAGTGGGAGAAGTCGTCGAAGATGGAGGTGGTGTGCCGGTAGGAGGCGATGACCCTCAGCACCTGCCGGGCCTTCTCCAGCGGCACCTCCTGCGTGTCCCGGGAGTTGGTCACCGGCTTGTTGTCGTTGTTCTCCAGCCGGATGTGCCGCAGCTGGGCGTTGGGCACGTCCTTGACGAAAATCCACTTGACGTCGAACTTGCCCTTCCACTTGTCCTGGGACCAGACGCCCGCGCTGGCGCCGTAGTCCACGGGCGACTTCATCTCGGCCACCCCGCAGAAGTGGCCGCTGCCGTTGACGCTGAAGAGCAGGTAGACGGGCCCCTTGCTGCCCGAGGCGCGGAAGGCGCTGTCCAGCCGCCGGTTGCCGTGCTCGGTGCTGCACCAGATGGAGTACTTGATGGAGCGGTGCACGTCGTCCTCCGAGTAGCTCTTGATGATGAACACGCGCCCGCTCCGGAGCCGCCAGTCGAAGCCCCGGGGGTTGTAGCTGTGGGCGGCTTTCAGCTGCTCCAGGACGGGGTGGGGCTCGCCGCCTGGGGCCGAAGCCGGCTGGCTGCCTGCAGGGGAGTCCCTGTCGCCACCGCTCCCTCCGCTTGGCCCAAACGCCACATTTCTGCTGCGAGGGGCCGCCCAGCGGGCTTGGGGCGGCGGCTGAGGGCTGGGATACTGCGGCTGGGCCGAGGGGGGAGGCGGGGCCAGAAGAGGCTGGACGGCCGGCAGGGGCTGGGGGGCGGCCTGGGGGGACGGCGCGGGCTGGGGCGCTGGGACCTTGGGCACAGGCCCCTTGTTGTCCCAGGTGCCGATGTCCATATTATGCTTTATGGGCGGAGGGGGCAACGCGCCCCCGGCCCCGGGCCCGCCCTTGGCCTTCGTTTTCGGCTGCGGCTTCGCAGGCTTGCTGGCGATGGCGGCCCACGAGGTGGGCTTGGAGACCGGCATGCCGCTGCCCGCCCCCCCGCCGCCTGCGAGGACGCCCGCCATGGCCGCGCTGCCGATGCCTGAGCCCGCCGCCTTCACGGCGGCAGCGGTGACATCCCCGAGTTTCAGGCCGACCATGCCCTGCTCCAGGCTGTTCACGCCAGGGGCCTTGCTGAGGGTGTCGCTGGGAAAGCCTGTCTGCCCGTCAACAATGGTGCCGCCCAGGGAGCTGGGGGGGTAGGTGTAGCTGCTCCCATAGGCAGACCCCTGGGCCTGCTGCCCCTGAGAGCCGCCCGGGCCCCAGGCCGAGAAGGCGGGGTTCTCAGGGAAGAAGCTGAACCTGTGCTGGTACACGCTGCTGCCCAGGCCCCCGGGCTGCCCGAAGACCGCGTCGGGCATGAAGTGGTGGTCTCCGTTGCTGAGCTGCCCGTAGGTGGTGAGGTACGGGATCGGGGGGTCCCCGCCGGTGGACCATGGCGCCTCGCTGAGGGAGTAGGGAAAGCCGATGGACGGCGGGTAGTAGCTCGACAGGTAGGGGTCGGCCATGGAGGGGTAGCTGTTGCTCTGCGGAGACAAAGGTGATGAGCGGAGGGCACGGGACACGGCGACGGCCGGCGGGGCCAGAACGCAGCCCGAGAGCAGCTCAGCCCCGGAGGCCGCGCCGCCCTCACCCCCAGGCCCATCCGGCCACAGGGCCGTGAGGACACAGCCCCCCTGGGGCCGATGGGGGCTTGTCGGCGCCACAGCTCCGGGAGGAGCCTGCGGGCTGGGCCTCACCTCTGACCCTGGGCTGCCCCTGCCGCGCTCACCTCACGCCTCAGAGCCACCTCAAGTGCGCTGCAGAGGAGAGCTCCACGCGGTCACCCCACACCAAGCAGCCGCAGGCTGCTCCCGCTGCCGTGACCAGAACCCGCACCATCTTTGGTCACGTGGGCGCCAGCTGAAGCCCGGGGTCCCGAACGCCGGAGTCCTGTTCCTTCCAGACCCCACGCAGCTCTTCGCAGCCTCACCCTGCAGGGTCAGGCCCACCAGGCCACGCACCCGGTGGGACCAAGGGGGAGACCCGGCCAGACGGCCTGGCAGCAGCAGACTGGGGACGCCGGGAGGCAGGCTCCAGCGAGGGTGGCCGCCGCGGACCGACAGGCCCGGAAACGGCCTGTGCCCGCCCCTCCTGCAACGGCCACCTCCACACAGCACGGGGGAAAGGCCCCTCGCCCTCGGCCCGACGGGGACACCGTGCTGGGTAGCAGCTCTGACGGCGCCCGCCAGCCCGCCAGTGACTGTCGCTGCCCGGCCCTCCCCGCCCCGCCAAGAGCGGGGTGGGCGCTGTGGCCGGGGAGGTGGGCGGGGCCCTCTGAGCAGGCTGCCCGGCCTCACCCACCACTTCCTGCAGAACTTGGCAGCCGGGCACGCGCCCCGTCTCCGCGAGGGGCCAGCCGTGAGGTCACCCCAGAATATCATTGCCCTGTGCGAGGCCACCTGGTCTCACCCCAGCCCAGAACAAGGCGACACAAGTGCCAGAGAGGGGGTGGCCGAAGCCTGCCACCTGCGCCCACCGCAGAGCCCTCGGCCAGAGGATGCGCGCCTTGGGGCCAGCGCCTGGACCAGCACCGGGAAGGGGCTCCGAGGTCACTACTTCAGGTGACCCAGCAGAGGCGAAGAGGCCACAAGCCCCACCCAGCCAGGCGACCCGACACCCCGGGAGCCGAGAACCCCAGTAAAAAGGGACCACCCCCGGCTCATTGCGCGGGCGGGAAAAGGACGAGCGCGGTTATGGAAAGGTGCGAAACGGCATGGGCTCCTGGGAAGCTGCCGTGCCCGGGGCTCAGGACCCCGCCGACGGCCCAGGCAGCACCCCCCGCAAGCACCCTCCCCCCGCGAGCACCCCCCAGAGGCGCCGTGTGGGGCAGGCAGAGCCCAGCAGCTTCCAGGACGGGCCGGCCTGAGGCTTGAGGCATATGGTGGGCTCGACGGGCAGGGCACAGGCCTGCGTGAGGGGAGAGGCCTCGCCCCCCGACAGGCTGAAACCAACTGGCCGTCCGCACTGGAACGCCTCACACGGGACGCCTCCTAGCACTTTCTCAGGAAACGGATGCTCCCTGCAACGCTCGGGACAACCGAATGGCTCGGGCACAAATGCTTGCGGGAACGCGGGGTCCTTCTATCCCTGCAGGTGTGACCAGGAAGTGAGCTGTGACGACAAGGCAGGGAGCACGTGGGGTGCGCTGTGCCCACGCCCCACCGGGAGGCAGCCAACAAAGCCGCCACCTGGCCCAGAAGCTCCGCGGACATGGGCAGGAACTTCTCAGGGTCGTTCCGATGCTTCCTCACCCGGCAGAAGAGGACAGAGCCCGGGAAAGTCGGGAGGGTCCCAGCAGGCGTCCAGCCCCCAGTCCAGGGGTCCCCACTCTCCATTCCCCGTTTCCACTGTCAGCGGGACCCAGGGCTGCTCCCTCAGGAGGTACCTGGGCACCCAGGAAGGAGAACGCCAGGCAGCAGCAGCAGCACCGTCCCGGGCCTCTCTGAGGACTTCCCACCCCAGGCCCGGCCTTGGCGGCGCGTGAGTCAGAACGTCCCAGTTGGAAGGCGCCTCGCAGACTCCCAGCCACTGCAGGTGCCGGCCCCGCCACTACGAACCACACCTGGGTCACTGTGGGGACGCAGCACCCTTCTAGCTGACTCAGGCGCCCCGCGGGTGCCGAGAGGAGCTCCGCGCGAGGGGCTGGCGGTCACAGCACAACGCAACCTTAGAGTCAGGCCAGGCGCGGGACTTCCCTGCGCAGGTGCCTCTGCCCGGAGCGTCTCGTGCCGTGAAGATTGGGCCGCCAGGACAAGAGGGCCCTGCTGCGGGCCTGCGAACCGCCCACCAGGACCCAGGGCCTCGGGGCCAGGCTCTCAGAGCAAAGACGAGGTGCGGGAGGAGACCGAGGCGCCTGCGCTGTGTGCCCATGACTCCTCTGGAAGGGCTGTTCTCCCTCCTCGAGCACAGACCGCAGGAGCGGGCAGCCACTCCTTGTGACCACCACTTGGAGGCAGCACCAAGTGACGGCTGAGTCCCTGGCCTCCCAGGGTGACGGCCCTGGGGCCCCTCCGCTGCCAGCAAGAGACCCCTGGCCCTGGGCCCAGCACCACGGGCAGTCAGCCCCATTGGCAGTCACTGTGGCACGTGTTCGATCCCCCGCTGGTCAGGAACAGCCCACAGGGCACAGCAGCCCTCTCCTGTCTCCCTGCTGCTCTCCTCAGTGTGTCTCAGTCGATCCGCCTGCTCTGCTTCCCACTTTGTCTCTCGCCCCCACACCTCTGGCCTGTACCCCAGTTCTTGCACATGTAAATAAATTCTTAAGCAAAAGAAACATAGACTTTAACTAATGGCAGGTTTGCAAGAAGAGCTGGGATATCTTGCCCACTGCAGAGAGGAGCAGAAGCCAGTCTGACCCCGCTCTCCAGCCAGCGCGCACAGCACCGTGCCACTTCCTGAACCCCAACTCGTCCAGCGGCCTTAGCAAGGAAAGCTTTACCCCCCAATATACCTGCCAGGACAGATTATGTCATCCCCGGGAGGTGGGGAGGAGTCCCATAACGTCATGACAGCCCCCAAATGAGAACATTTCCATTTATGACGTCCTGGGCGCCAAGCCTGAGAAACCCTGAAAGACCCGAGCAGCTGGCGGTTGTGAGTGCCGGGCTGCCACCCAGAGTTGCCTTAGAGCATCGCCTTAGAGCTTCACCTCACGGCCCCTTCCACAAGTCCAGCAGTGACCACGGCCTTTGTCGAACAGAAAAGGAACCTGAAATGCCTAGAGCCAGCCTGAGGCAGGTCCCGATTCCAGAGTCAGGTTAAGATTTGAACCCAAATCCAGAACTGTCACGGAGTCAGGCCTTCGGCCGCTTGCCCAAACCACAATTCCACACACCCCAGACTAAAAACAACTGGCCGGAGAGCTCAGGGAGAGCCCCCACCTCACCCACGGCAGTGCACCACTGCCCGCAGCTGCCGAGCCAACCTGCACCCTGCGTGTGGGCCTGGCGGGGTGGTGCCAGGCGAGGCCCTCACAGCCCTCCTCATGCAACATCCCCCGTGCCTGCTGCTTGCCACCTGGTCACCGAGCCAGAAGCGTGACGTAAAGGCATGCCGCGGCCGACGCAAGCGTCAGCGTGTGCTAAAGACAGCACAGACTCACCTGATTCGACTGTCCGGAAAGGTAGGGCTCAAAGTCACTGTCGTGGGCTGCGTCCTTCTGATGCAAAGAGCCATTTTGTACTGGAATGAGAAAGCACGAGATGCCAGCTCTGGACAGCAACCGCCATAATCAGTTCGAAACTGCGGCAACAAGGCCCTGCGACTCGCGTTAAAACGGACCACGAATGCAGAGGGGGTCTGCACCCCTGGCGAGGTCCTGCCGCGGGCTCTGGACTACCGAGTTACACTTTTGATAAGGATCGATTGTAACTTGGTAGTGACAGGCAAAACAAGAAACGCAAACGAACGAACAGATAAGTTGTGCTGGAAGCGGCGCAGTCTAAGAGGTAGGAGCCAAGAAAAGGGCGCAGCCGGGGAGCGTCTAGGCTCAGGAGCCGGGAAAGGGGTGCAGCCGGGGCGAGTCCGGGCTCAGGGTCTGGCGACACTCCCTCTCCAGTTACAGGCGCAGCCAGGGAAGGAAAGGTAAATAAAGCCCAGGGCCTCGTCCACTCGCAAAGCACCGTGAACCGTGTTCGGTTACGGCCCAGCCCCGCACACGGCCAGGCGCGCGGCAAGCGCCGGAGGCCGCCTTGCGCGTCCCCGGGGAGTGGGCTGGGGCTGCGCGGCCCGACCCCGCGAGCCCGCCTGCCCGGCCGCGCCGCCTGCCGCCCGGAGGGACGGCGGGCTCCCGCCACCTCCTGGCTCCTCGCTTGCCCGCGGGAGGGCCCTGGGGCCGGCCCGGCGCGTCGCCCCAAGCACCACAGGCTCGAGCGGGACGAGCGCGCGCCGGGGGGCGCCGGGGCAGCGCCCGCCCCCTCGCCCGCCCGGGGCCCGCCAGGCTCACCTTTACTCTCCTGTCCTTTGGCTCTCTGCGCCGCCGCGGGCCGGGGGGGAAAGGACAGCGTTAGCCTCGCGAGCCCCCGGGGGGCCGAGCCCCGCGCCCGCCGCCCGCCCGCCGCCCGCCGCCCGCTACCTGGGGGTCCACGCTGGCGGCCGACATGCTTCATGAACGGCGGGCGCGGGGCCGGGCGCCGCCGGCTCGGGCCTCCCGCGCGGCCGCCTGTCGCCGCGCTCTCGGGCCCGGGCCCGCCGCCGGCTCCCCGGGCGCGGCCGGGCGGCGGCGGCGGCTGCGGGGCGCGCGGGCCGCTCGCGGGGCGGCGAGCCGGGCGCGGACGCGCTGACGAGGCGCCGACCCCAATGGCGGCGGCGGCGACGGCGGGACGAGGCTGCGCGACGTCAGCGCGCGCGGGGCAGGCCGGGAGCGCCGCCGGCCGCCACGCCCCGCGCCTGCGCGCCGCCGCCCGGCGGGACGTATCTCGCGCCCGGGTCGCAGTCTCCCGCGGCGGGGGCGTGGGCGGGGCCGGGGCGGGCCGGGAAGTCACGTGGGCGGGGCGCGGCTCGCGGGGCTCCGGCGGGAAGCGGCGGGGGCGGCGCGCGCGGGATGCACCTGCCGGCAGGTGCCTCGATCGCGCAGGTTTTAGAGCCGACGGCCCGGCGCGCATCCCGAGGCCTGAAGGCGCGGAGGCTGGTGGCGCGGCCGCCTGTCGCGCCGCCTCCGGGGCCGAGTCCACGGTGCCCTGCGGCCCGCCTCCGCCCCAGGACGGCCGCCCCCGCGCCTCCCGGTTCTGTCTGCGGCCTCTCGTCCTGCAGCGCCTGTCCCCAGAGCCCGGGCACCGGCCTCCCGAGGGGGCTGCTTGCTAGCGCTCCCCACGGCCTCCAGGGTCAGATTACGGCCACCCCACGGGTTGGGGTTTAGACCCCAGATGTCACCACAGGGAGGAACCGAGAACTCAGCTCTGAGCTCTGCTGGCCTGGGACCCGCAAGGATGCACAGCCCCTTCTTGGCTCCCACCTCCACCCCTGCTGGTCACCCCTCCCAGCTCTAGCCACTCCCTGCCCATCCTTCCCACATCGGGCAGGCAGGTGTCATGTCCCCCCATGGCTGGGATCAGAGCCCAGGTGGGCATGGCAGGTGTGGTCCCAAAGCAGGGCCCAGGTGGTGGCAGGGGAAACACTGATGAGGATGAACAGGGTCTGCCAGGACCACAGTGGGGGTCCCGGGGGCTCAGGTGGGGCCCACACGCAGACACAGGGCACCTGCACCCACAGCTGCCAGAGGAGGGGCAGACACCGCCAGCTGGGGCACCAGGCCTCGGTCTGGACAGCCTCTGGGAGGCGAGGCAGCTGGACACAGGCCGAGAGAGCAGCTGGTATCCAGGGCCCACCTGGTCCAGTAAGGCCTGGAGACCGTGGCTCTCCCAAGATAAACTGCACTCGTGGAGGGGCCTAGAACATGCAGGGCCAGTGCCCAAAGAGGTGCAGGTGGGAGAGTGGGGGAAGGGCGGGCACCCACTCTGTCTTGCCCTTTGCCTGTCGTTGGGTGCCGAGCCCCACACCAGGCTGCCTTCCTCCTCCCCAGGAACAAAGCTACAGGGCACCTGCGAGGTGGCCAGAGTCGGGTTTAGAGCTGGAGATCAGTCCCTCCAGCCACAGCTGGCACCTGCTGGCAGGGGAGAAGCATTCAGGCCACAGGGCCCACAAAGGCCCACCTGCTGCGCTCATACCCCCCCCCTCTGTGGGGGGTCCACCCCTTCCAGAGTTGGCATGAGGGTGACTCATGCATGGACACCCTTGACATCAAGCCTCCTGTCTCCACCTGTGGGAGCCAGGGGAGCTGGGGGTGTGGCTGCTTAGAGCCAAGGTAACTTTTATTTTTATTTTTCAAAGATGTATTTATTTATGCATATAAGAGCTGGGGTGCAGGCCAGAGTGGCACTTCCCAGCAGGACACAGTGCTGGGGCAGGCCAGGAATTGGGGTTCAGGGTGGGTAGTCGCCAGCCGCTAGGGCACCAGCTAGCGCACAGGAGTGTCTGTCTGCACTCCCCCAGGGCCGGGCTGTGCAATCCAGTGAGTGCCAAGCGGCTCTGGCCTCTTCTGGCCTGGTACCTGGAGGGCTGCACCCACCAGGGGCTGGCCTGGTGTAGTTGGGGGCTGCATGCAGAAAGCCCTGCCCACCCTTGACCTGAGTGGCCTGTGGTGGCATTTTATTTGCTTTTTATGGGGGAGCCAGCCCCAGTCCTACCTCCGTGGCTACACTCTGCCTGGCCCACTCCTCTGGCCCTGCTCCTCATGGCTGCTGCCCTTCCTGCGTGGCCCTTCCCTGCCTGGCCAGAGCCCTGGGCCGCCCCGCCTGGCTCACTCATGGTGTGGGGTCCAGCCTCAGTGCCACCTGCAGGGCCTGTGGCAGCCATGGTGACCTGCCTGCCCAAACACAACCCCATGCTAGTCCAGAGCCTCCTTGGGATGGAGGCCTACGGAGGAGGCTGGCGTCAGGGCCTGGGGCTACGAGGCACCTGCCAGTGTACCTGCTCCCTGTGGTGCTTCCCCCTGCCTTGAGGAGTCAGCCAGGCCCTGGCCCCCCAGCTCTGTGCAGCCACCCACTAGGACGGGAAGGCAGGCTCTCACCCTACACCGGGGGTGGCCGGGGCTGGCAGTCAGCCCCTTGAGCCATGGGCCTCCTTCCTGTTCGGGGAGAGCCTACTGGAGGAGGCCTGGGCTCACGGGCCAGCCCCTGCACACTGTCTCTGCCACAGTTGGGAAGAACACAGGCGCTGGGGGCAGGGGACTCGGCCCCAAAGGGGCACCCTAAGTCCCCGGCTGGGCTGGGCAGCCACACGCAGCTCCTCGAAGAGGCTGTGTTTTCAATTTTATTCCTTTTTTATAGCTCAGATATTTTTTATTTCTTCAAATTTGATGGTTATCAGGGATGACACACAGTCGAGTCCCAGCATCATCTCCACCACAACCTTCACAGAAACGGCTGTAAGAGAGACCAGGCAGGCAACCATTGCTGCTTCCAGTCCTCACCCAAGATGGTCGCCACTCACAGCAGCGCCTCCACGGGGACACACCTGACAGGGCGCACCAGTCATGGGGGCCTGGGAGCCGCCAGACACTCGCAAGCCGAGCCCTGCGCTTGGTGCGTACCTTTGCCCCTTGGCTGCCTGTCTGTGGCCACGGGGAGTCAAAGGGATAGCCTATAGGGGCGAACCCGACCGCCCGTGCCACCCCGGCCATCAGGAGAGGAGTGGGCTCACTGGCGCCCCTCCAGGAAGCCTCTGGGGGTTCTAGTACCCATGGGAAACATAAGGGGGTGCAGGCTGGTTCTGCCACCCAGACTGGGCCCTATCTCGCCATGCTGTTCCTAACAGCCCACAGCCCCTGGCCACTGGGGCCTGAGCTGGCCTCACCCTGGGAAGACCCAGTTAGAAGGTGCCAGGTGAGTGCAGGAGCCACCTGGTGGCAGGCTCTCCTGCATGGGGAGGGGGGAGGTGGGATCCTCTAGGGCTGGCCCCAGCCCACCCCAGTGTCAGAGGGGGAAGGGTGTGCTAATAGGCTGGGGATGGGGATGGGATCAGGGCTGAGCACTGACGCTAGACACACCTGAAGCATGGGCCAGCTGCCCAGGGTCAGCCGCACCCTCACCTGCTGGACTATGGTCCTTTTAGCACTGTCACCGTGCTGTGTGCTCATGGCAGGGTGTCCACCTGCCCCTCCCCCAGCAGGAGAGAGGCAACACCTTGCTCACAGACAGTGTCCCTGGCAGGCCCACCCTTTCCTTACAACCTAGGAGAAGGGGCCATTGTGTCCAAAGCCTCCTCGGCCTTTTCCGACACAGCCCCCATGCTGGCGTCAATCCCAGCCCTGGCACCCTTGCACGTGCCTGGCTCACCTCCACCTCTGCCTAGGGGACGTGGCAGCCCCATCCTGCCCCAGAGCCCACAGGGCACAGCCTGAAGGTCTGACTTGGTGCAGGTAGCCCAGGACTAAGGGACCCGCACCCAGTGACCAAGAGGCGGGGCCCCGGCACAGCACACCGGCTCAGCTTGCACATCCTGGGACCCAACCCTGTGTGTGTCCAGACGGAGAGCACATTTGCTTGGGCGCCCTACGAACCCAGCACTGAGTGCGTGCCGCAGGTAGGGAGGCGTTCTGGAACAGAACTGGCGGAGGGGGGCCAGGAAGAACAGCTGCCAAGGCTGAAAGGCCAGGGCCCTGGGGAGGCAGCAATTCACACCTCAATAAAAAATGTTTACTCCCCGGCCTCCCTGGTGTCACAGGCGGTTGAATGCAGCACTGTGAGGCTGTCCTCGGCCCTTGTGGCGCGGATTCGATCCCGGCTGATCAGGGAGATGCCCACATGTCGCGGCAGACCTCTCCTGCCTCCCTGCTGCTCCCCCCAGCAGGGTATTTCACTCTGCTTGTTCTACTCCCCACTCTGTCTCTGGTGAGTCCTCTCACCTCCCACACCTCTGGTCTGTACCCTGGTTCTTGTGTGCCTTATTAAATAAATCTTAAGTCTTAAAAAAAAAGTTTACTCTGAATCTTTTCCTGGTTTGCACTGATCAGTGAAGAGCTGCTGGAATACACAAAAAGTAAAATATGCACAAAGTAAAAACAACTAAAAGTCACGTGCAATTATAGCCCCGAGGAGGAGAATCAGCGGGCCAGGCCTTGGCATTGCCCTGCTCCCTCCCGCCTGCACTTGCTCCTCGTCCCCCTCGCTGCCTCACCGAAGGCCCTGGGCACCGGCTGCGCGGCCCGGACCGCCCTCTGGGCTTCGCGGGGGCGGCCACAACGGGGCCCGGGAGAGGCCAGGTGCCGGGCCGCTCACTGGCAAAGACCTGGGCACCGGCCCAGGTCTGTACCTCCCTCCCTCCGCCGTCCCGGGGGGACTGGACGGCGTGGCTGCGGGGGTCCCCCTTCCGGCGGCTTCCAGCGCCCCGGGCCCCGCCCCCCGGACCCCCGGGCCGGCTCGCACCCCGCCCCTCCCGGTCTGGGCTCCCGCCCGGCCCGTCTCCTCCGCCCCGCCCTCCCCGGACCCGTCCCCACACCCGCCCGCGCGCACACTCCGCCCCCGGGCCCCGACCCGAGCGGCCGGGCTCCCCCCAGGCCCGCCGCGCTGCCCGCGGAGATCGCGGCTTGGGGCCGGGGCCGACCGCGGCTCCGCCCAGCGGCCCGACGCGTCTCCGTGGCGACGGGGGCGGGGCCGCGCTTCCGGGCCGGCGCAAGGCGGAAGTCCCGCCCCCGCTTCCCGGGATGCCCCGCGCGGTGCAACGTAGCCGGAAGCGGGTGGCGGCGGGGTGGGCGGCCGGCGCGTCCTCGGTGCAGCCCGCGGCCGGCGCGACCCCCGACGCGCCCCGACCCGCCGCGCGCGCCCCCCGCCCGCCCGCCCGCCCGCCCGCCCTCCGGGTAAGCGCCGCCCGCCCCCGCGCCCCGCTCGTCCGCGAGGCGCCCCGCGGCCGCCCCCGCCGCGGGCCCCGGACCCCCGCGCGCCCCGGCCGCCCGCTGGGCCCCCTTCCCGCGGCTGCCGCGCCGCCGGCCCCGCTGCGGGGCTCCCGGCGCCCCGGGCCCCGCGCCCGCCCCCGCCGCGGCGCGCCCCCCGGGCCCCGCGCCCGCCCCGCGCAGCCCCCGGCCGGACCTGCCTGGACGCGGCGCGGCCCCGAGGGCTGGGAGGCGGCTGCCCGCGGCGGGGCTTGGGGCCCGTCCCGCCGTCCCGCCGCCGCGCGCCTCCGCCCTGCCCGTTACCTGCCCGTCGCCTCCCGCGGCGGGCCGGGCTTCTCCAGCGTGGGCGGCCCGGTGGCCCGACGGCTGTGCTCCTCCGCGCGGGAAGCCCTTGGCGAGCGCCCGGTGGCTCTGGGGCGCGCCTCTGCTGCAGACCTTGCCCTGGCGGCCTGGTGTGCCAGGCGGGCGCTCATGCCAAGGGCACCCTGGCAGTACTGTTCCTGACCTAGGGGAGCTGCTCCGGGCGGGGCGCCCTGGGTGGTCTGGGGCTGCTGCTCCTCACCATGCCTGCCCGGAAGCCTCCCTGCTGGCCGCCTCCACCCACGGGAGGGCTGCGCTGATCCTCTGGGTTTGGGTGTTTAGCTCGGAGCTCTTGCGGCCTTTCTCAGCGTGACTGCTGCCTGTGGCTGCGAGGGTGGAGGATGGGGGTGCCTGTTCCTGGGTGTGGTGCTTGGTGCTACAGAATGGGGGGAGGCCCATCCCTGAGGCCCGTCCCTACAAGGGCGCCCACCAGCACCAAGCTGACCGGTTTGGCTGTCACTTCTTCTGGAGGCACCGCTGACCTCCCCACAGCTTCTCTGACAGAGGTTTTGGGCAGGTAACCCAGTCCGCTGGGTGTGGCCTGCGCCCTGTGCACTGTTGACGGGGCCTGAGCCTCAGCGGGCACCCTGGGTCCTGGGAAGCCAGCACGGGGCCCTCTGAGCAGGCCGCATCTGGCTGTGTGCAGAGGACTCTGAGCGCACACTCACAGGACGCCTTTGGGAGTGGGGCATGGTGGGCGGGCTTGCTCTTGCTTTTGTGGTCAAAGGCCCACGTCTTGGGCACTGCCTGGGGGTTGCTGGCCTGAGACTCGGGAGGCACAGCCTGTCTGCCGGCCTGAGAGGCAGGAGAAACAGGGCTGTCTTCCAGGCCCTAAGCTGCTTCCACCGCACCATTGAAAGCAGAGCCTGCCAGCCCCTTGCTGCTGGGGGAGGCATGTGTGGCCATGTGACCTAGAGGGGCCTGCCCTCGGCAAGGGTGGCCCAAGTCCTGGCGCTGCCGATGGGCCACGTCCAGGGTCCTACTTGGCACCCAGCACCGCCTCCAGCTTGAGTTTTGGTTTTATCCACCTTGCCACATACACCCGCAGACCGTCCCCCTGCCCCCCCCACCACCCTGCCGCAACGGCCCCATGAGGCCTTGCCTGGGGCCCTTCCTCAGGGCCTGCTGAGACTTGGGGTTCAGAGAACACGGGGCTTCCCGTCTCCAGAGCATCCCAGCCCAAATGCTGCGTCCTTCAGGTGGGAGGTGAGAATTAGGCCAAGTAACCGCCCCGCCTGCTCCACACGCAGAGGGGCTCATTCTGAGCCTGTTGCGCCTGGCTGCTCTTGGCTCTGCGGGGGTGGCAGCAGCATCCCCTGCGCAGCTCGCCGGGCCAGGTCGTGTTGTGGCGCTGGCCGCTGGTCTCCTCGGGAGAGCCGGCCAGCGCTCCTAGGATGCTTGTCTGCCTCTCAGCGCCATGGCCAGCCCGAGAACTAGGAAAGTCCTGAAGGAAGTTCGCGTGCAGGACGAGAACAACGTAAGCATGCTGTCCCTGTGCTGCGATGGGAGGGCTAGGGTGTATGTGTCCCCCCCCACCCTCTGAGGCACCACTTCCTAGCAGGTGTGCTTTGAGTGTGGCGCCTTCAACCCCCAGTGGGTGAGTGTGACCTACGGCATCTGGATCTGCCTGGAGTGCTCGGGAAAGCACCGCGGGCTCGGGGTGCACCTCAGGTCAGTGCTTTGGATGTTGGGGTGCCCCGCCAGACCCGGCCCCACCCCACCTGACGGCTCTCCCGGCTCGCAGCTTTGTGCGCTCAGTCACCATGGACAAATGGAAGGACATCGAGCTGGAGAAGATGAAGGCAGGCGGCAATGCCAAGTTCCAGGCCTTCCTGGAGTCGCAGGCGGACTACGATCCCGGCTGGACGCTGCAGGACAAGTACAGCAGTAGGGCCGCTGCGCTCTTCCGCGACCAGGTGCCGGCGGGCAGGGCTGGCGGGAGCGCACACGCACTCGGGCCCCCGGGCCGAGACTGGTGGGGAACCCTGGGCCACAAAGCTGAGGAGCTGTGGGGGCCGGCCCGGCCCTGATCGCGCCCCTGCTTATCCCTGCAGGTGGCCACCCTGGCTGAAGGCAGGGAGTGGTCTCTGGAGTCATCGCCTGCCCAGAATTGGACCCCACCCCAGCCCAAGACACTGCCATCCGCTTCCCACAGGTAGCTGCTCCGGCCCGTGGGGACTGTGCTGGGGAGAGTGGCGGGGCCGAGGCCACACCCACCCGCTGACCTTCGCCCCTGCATTTCAGAGCCTCTGGCGTGCCACAGAGCTCCACCCCGTCCTCTGACAAGGCTTTTGAGGACTGGCTGAACGAGGACCTGGGTTCTTATCAGGGGTGAGGCCTGGGGGATGGGGGGCCCGTCCCAGGACTGCAGCAGAGGGGTTAGGCCTGCGGGTCCCCAAGTGTCTGTGCTGGGTGTGGGTGGACCAGGCCCCGGTGGGTTTTCTTCTTGGCGCCCTGATCCATTCAGGTCTCAGTGCCTGGAGCTCGGGGAAGCGTTGCGATGCTCTCACCCGCCTGGGTCTCAGCTCTGGGTGCTGAGGGGTCCCCGCCATGGCAGAGGTGCACTGATGGCAGCTTCCAAAGCCACGGTGCCGCCATCCCTGTCCTACAGGGCTCAGGAGAATCGCTACGTGGGGTTTGGGAACACCGCGCCACCCCCCAAGCGTGAGGACGACTTCCTCAATAGTGCCATGTCGTCCCTGTACTCGGTGAGGCACAGTGGGCAGCAGCAGGGGCACGGGCGACCTCCGGGCGGGCGTCCCTACCCCATCCTGGGCCACCCAGCCTCTGGTCTGCCCGCCTCTCGCCCAGGCCTGGGACACCGCACCCTGAGGCTTCTCCCCCCAGCTCCCTTCCCAGGGCCCAAGTCCCTCCGGGGAGAGAAGTGGGGTGTCGGCCACAGCTCCCTGTGGACCTCTTCCAAGACATGGTCCGTGCACGCTGCAGCTGCAGCTGCCACCCGCCCAGGAGGGGCTGCGCGTGCTCTCCGTGTGCTTATGTCCCGGAGCGGAGTCCAGGCCTGGAGGTTTCACATGAATCTCTAAGTGGCCTGGCTGCGTGTGTCCTCAAGGCTGAATGGACAGCAGCCCCGAGCGTAGACTGGAGTCTGGGCCCACCCCACCGCCACCCACTCTGTCCAGGGCCTCGGGCACAGGGTCTTGGAGGCAGGTGTGCTGCATGGCTGACGCCGGCCCGTCTGTGCTCCCCCAGGGCTGGAGCAGCTTCACCGCAGGAGCTGGCAGGTTTGCCTCGGCGGCCAAGGAGGGCGTAAGTGAGCTCCCCAGGTGGCCTGGGGTCGGAGAGGGAGGGCCCTGGCAGTGGCCTTGGGGCTCAGGCTGTGAGGCGCCCCTCTTGCTTCTCACCCGGTTTTCTGATGCCATCCCCTCCTGTCCTGCCTGGCCTTGGGGATGCGGCAGGAGCACTGGGGTGCCAAGGGCGGGGCTGGCATGGAGCAGGGGCCCTGGGTCCATGGCTGGACCCTTTTCATACCCATAGACCGCCAGCCCCGCCCTGGAGCAAGAGAGCGTCACTCCGCGGGCCCTTTTCCCTCCTGCAGCCGGGTGGGTCCTGGGCTCGCAACCACGCTGCCACCGCATGAGCCCCGGACCCAGGGCCACCAGGGAGGGGCCTGGTAGCGTGGCTCAGCTTGGAGGGCAGGGTGCCAAAGACGTCGTTTCTGCTCTGTTTCCAGGCGACGAAATTTGGAACCCAAGCAAGCCAGAAGGTAACGAGGAGATGTCTGCTCTCCGAGGGCCGGGGCCGGGGCCAGCGCCTGCCAGGTCCTGTCCTGACCTCCGGCCCGGCGTGGATGGGCATGTGGCCTCGGGGCCAGCTCCCCATGAAGCTGGTGGGCTTGTGTCCCATCCCAGCCTGCACCAGGCCATGGCTCCGAGGCCGCCAGTGTGGCAGGGGCGAGATTGCATGGTTGGGGCCGCACCATTGGGAGGCTGCACTGTGGGGCGCCCACGCCTCGGGAGAAGGGATGGCCCCCAGCCTCTGGGAGCCGCCCTTGGCCCCCACTGGTGCTGGCCTGGCAGTTGTGGGGGGGGCGCCTCGGGGCAGGCACGCGGCCATGGGGTGCGTCTCGGCACTCCTTGCTGTGCCAAGCACGCCACGCCTTGTCTCTCCTCTTTGCTGGCCGCCGCCTGGGCACAGTTCTGGGGCTCCAAGCCGCAGGCAGAGCTGGTAAGGCCGCAGGCGCCCATGCATGCTGCCCCATCCCCCGAGCATGCTGGGTCTGCGGGCCCGTGTGGTGCTCCATGTGCCCGGCCTTGCTGATGCCACGGGCTGGTCCCAGGGGGCACCAGTACCACCTCTGCCTTTCCGCCTGGGCCGCAGGGTCCTGCCGCGCACATGCTGGGCCTGGGTGCCCCTTGGCGCCATGTGCATCTCACAGCGTGACTGCCAGGCTTTTCCTGGCCGAGCAGCTGCCTCAGCCCTTCGCCCTGTGGCTCCTGACGCCCCGCCGAGCGCGTGACTCTGGGCTCCCAGGCGGCTTCCCCGTCGTTCGCGGCGGGGCCTGAGCCTGAGTTGTCTGGCCCCTGGGGCCACTTGTGTGCCGCGCCCCAGCGCAAGGTCCTGGTGGGCACACGGTGGGGGGTGCGGGCAACCACCACCTCCCTCCCTCGGCGGGCTCGCAGCTGGCGTGCGATCGTGTCCTGGGGCGGCGGCTGCCCAGCGTGCACACGACACTCTTCTTGCCATAGGCTTCGGAGTTGGGGCACAGCCTGAATGAGAACGTCCTCAAGCCGGCCCAGGAGAAGGTAGCGCCCCTCCCTGTCCCCTGGACCAGAGCCCAGTGCCGGCTGTCCTGGGAGGTCATGGGGGGCATAGGGGGAGGCGTGGCCCTGAGGGAGGCGTGGCCCTGAGGCGCGGCAGGGCTGTCCCTGCCTCCCGTGGGCGCTAAGGTGCCCCCACCAACAGGGCTGCTCCCCTCTGCGTAGGTGAAGGAGGGGAGACTCCTCGATGACGTGTCCAGCGGGGTCTCTCAGTTGGCGTCCAAGGTAGGGCAGGCCTTGCTAGGCGTAGTTGGAAGTGGCCTCCACACTCCAGGCCGGCGCCTGAGCCGTGGCCAGAGGCCCGGGCTGGGCAGCCGGGGCTCGGGCCGGCCTGGAGCTTGGAGCCGCCTGGCGGGCTGTCGTTAACGCTCACCTCTGGCTTTTCCTCCTGTTCTTGCTGCCGCTGGCCCACCCGGTGAGTGCGCCCTCTGCGTGCAGGCCTGGGGCGGGCCCAGGGCCAGCAGCTCCTCCTGGCGGCGGGGTGGGGCCGTGGGGTGCCCCGTCTGCCTGCGTTACAGTCACGCGCCTTCCAGGTGCAGGGGGTCGGCAGCCGGGGGTGGCGGGACGTTACCACCTTCTTCTCCGGGAGGGCCGAGGACTCCTCTGACAGGTGCGTGCCCCCGCTCGCAGCGGCCTCCCAGGGCTCCTCATGGGGACTCGGGCAGCTGGTGTCTGCTCTGGGGAGGCCCTGCTGGCTTGGCCTTGAGCCTCAGCTGTGGGGAGGCCAGCGGGCGTGGGCTTGTTCCCTGGTGGGGACACGCCCCACGTACGGGGCCCGCCGGTCCGTGGGGCAGAGTGGGGGACCCCCGCGGGGTGCCCCCTGGAGCGGCTGGGTGGGGGCCTGGTGCTCCAGCAGCGGAGGCCGGCTGTCCTCCCACAGGCCTCCGGCTGGCTCCTTGGGGCAAGGGGTGCGGGGCTGGGCTGGAGCCCTGCGGCCAGGGCAAAGCCCTCTTGAGCCCCGTGTCCCCCTAGACCCCCGGAGGGCCAGAGCTACCAGAACAGCGGCCTGGACCAGAGCTTCTGGGAGACCTTCGGCGGGGCCGAGCCCCCCAGGGCCCGCAGGTCCCCGAGCAGCGACAGCTGGACCCGCGCAGACACCACGGCGGAGAAGCAGGGCTCGGGCAGCTGGGACGCGTGGGGCTCGGGCTCTGTGTGCAGCAGCAGGAACAGCGAGCTGGGCGAGGGCGGCGGGGGAGCCTGGGGGGCTGGCGGGGAGGGCAGGGCCACAGCCGCCAAGAAGGCCGCACCGCCGCCCTCGCTGGCCGACGAGGGCTGGGACAACCAGGACTGGTAGCCGGGCCTCACCCTCTCCACGCGCGCCGGCCCGGGCGGGAAGGGGTGGTGCCGGGTGGCCTGGGCTGGTATGCGGGCAGCTCGCCCCTGGGGCTGTGCCCACGCGGAGACTGGGCAGTGGCCTGGTGGCCACGGGAGCAGACTGCCGCCTGGACCCGCTCCAGCTGCACCCTAATAAACCCTGCCTGGTGGCCTCTGGCCGTGACACTGACTCCGCTTGCCTGGGGGTGGATGTCTGGTCTGGTCTCCGGGGCTCTGGAGGTGGGGGCCCCAAAGGCACTGCCCGGCATGCAGGGGAACAGACCAACCCCGGCTCCCCTGGGTGCACAGCCAACCCTGCCCTAGGAGCCTCTCTCATGGGTGCCCCTCCCCAGTGTCCTCGGGGGAACGTGCAGCTCATGGCCGCCCACTTGTCCTGGGCAGGAGGCCCTGCAGGAGTCAGCCCCTGAGCGGGCCCTGCAGGGGGACGGGACCTCTAGGAGGTGGCGCAAGAGCAGGAACCTCGTGGGAGGGGTGGGGAGGGCCCGGGAAGGAGCGTGGTGCTGGGCTCAGGCACGGAGGGCACCCCACCGCCTGGAGGGACCCTGGCCTGTGCAGCCTGGACTCGGGAGGCTGAGCCGAATGCCCGGCCCCTGCTTCCCTCTGGCCCGGTCTGGGGACTCTGGTGCCCGCCTGTGTCCACGGCAATGGCCACCCTCCCACCCCAGCTCACGCTCATCTTCCTTCTGCGCCTGCCCCCCAGACGCCTTGCGAGGCGAACCTTCCTCTGAGGCGGGCTCGGGGCCCCAGGCTGCCAGGGACGGGACGGCCAGCGTGGGCTGGAGGCCAGCCAGCTACCTGCGGCCAGGCGTCTGCGGGGCAGGGCGGGCTGGGCGGCCACGCTGCTGGCTGGCTCTCTGTGAGAAGAGGGGTGCCCTGTGCCGCGGGGTACGGGGACTAGAGCCGCGGGCAGCAGGCGGGGGAGGGCCGTGGGGGCCAGAGCCGCGCCAGGGTGCGGAACAGAGGCCAGGCTGGGCAGGTGTGCCGGGAGCACCGGGGTCTCCAGTGAGGCCGCCGTCTGGGGTCCCTCGGGCGCTGGGAGGCCCACAGGCCATGGCTGAGCCCGGTCCGGGCGGGCGGGAGGCACGGGGCTTGCGGGTGAACCGGCATCGTTTATTCGGGCAGAACACATGCCTGGGGGCAGACTCGGCGCTGCGGGGGCTGGACACGGGCCAGCTGGGCAGGGGCGGGTCACCACGGGGGTGTGGACAGGGCAGCGGCCGCGGAGTGGGGTCCCGGGCCCCTAGCCAGCATCTCCGCTGCCCCGGAGCGGGGGGCGCTTCCACACGGGGGTGGAGCATGGGGGGCTGTGGCTCCAGGGTGCATTCTCTGGCTTTTCTCTTAGGAGTTGAAACAAAAAGCGGAACTGAAAATGAGAAAGGGACGGGGTCTCCTTGCCGGGCTTGGGCCAGGGTCACGCTGGGCAGTGGCAGCAGCGGGGGGTGGGGGCGGGTCTCACACCCGAGACCTGGGGCCATCCTGCCGCGGGAAGGCCCGGCTCCCTGGCGGGGGCGCCCTGCCCGGCACTGCCGCCCAGGGCCCCAGCGTGCAGGTGGGCAGCTGCGGGGCCAGAAGGCTGGGAGTTGGACGCTTGGGGCTCTGCGCCCGGGGCCAGCAGTGGCCCCGGCTGACAGAGGGTGCCCAGGCAGGGGCCTCTGGGTGGACATATTCAAGGGGGCGATAATCAGACTCGACAGGCACAGCCTGTGGCTGCCGGGGGCCCAGCGGCTCCTCCTAGGCCGTCCAGGGTGGACACAGAATGGGGGCGATGTGAACGTGTGACACCACGGGAGGAAGGGGTGCGGGGAGAGCCGGCCGCCCCGAGAGCTGCCCGTGCTGGCCGCAGGGCTAGATCATGCCCGCCAGCCAGGGCGGCAGGAAGAGGCCGACGGTGCCCAGCAGGCAGACCAGCACGAACACCCAGAGGAAGATGCGGTCGACGACCAGGGCCACGTACTTCCAGTCCTCCTTCACCTGCAAGACAGACGCGCCGCAGCTAGGCCCGCGCGCGGCCACAGGCGGGGCTCCCGACGCCGACAGGGCAGGGTCTCCCATGCCAGCCATGCGGTCAGCGGGCGCACACCTGGGTCGAGGGCGGGGAGGGGGTGCAGACGCGGGGCCAGGCTGGTGCCCTGGGGATGTGGGTTGCGGAGGGCCGAGGTCCCACAGGGGCCAGCGCATGCCCAACCGAGCCGACCTCGCTGCCCATTGTGCCCTGGGCTGGGCGTGCCCCGAGGAAGGGGGCGGGTCCTGGGGAGGGGGCCGGCCACCCGCCCCAGCGACGCCAGGGCCATGCTTCCCAGAAAGGTTTTGCTTAGCTGCAGAGCCAGGGCGTCGGCCTCCCTGGGGTTGAGCGGGGACAGCAAGTCCCGGGCACCCTGGGAGCACAGGTAGTGCCCACCCCAGGTCTGAAGTGTGAGGAGGCCACCGAGACTGCCCGGTCCAGCCCTGTCCCTCTGGGCCCCTCTCCGGGGATGCCCGAGACACCCCTTCCCCGGCTGGAGCACAGCAGCGCTGGGGGTGGGCAGGGGTCATGGCGGGCAGTGGGCCACGCTGGACAGACACCAGGAGGCTGCGGCCCCAGCACGGGCATGGACGGAAGGGCCAGAGGCCCCCGGGAGCAGCGGGGGCGGGCGCCTTATGGCCATTCCCTGCTCTGATTTTTTCCAAGAGACCACGGCCTCCTGGCGGTTTAAACCGAGTGGAAACAGCGAGTTTATTCCAGGGAGCCCGAGAGCAAGTGGGTCACCGTGAAAGCGCGGCCCTCTGTTCCGGCGCCCGCAGCCTGGCCTCCAGCTGGCCTGCCCTCTCCCTGTGCGCCCTCTGCCCCTTTCTGGAGGATGAAACGACCGACCGAAGCACCCTGCGGCCCCGGGCCGGGCCCTGCGAGGTCAGCTCGGCGCCCGGGAAGCGCAGCGCCAGAACCAGGCCAGGGCGCTCCCTGCCGCGCCGCCCTAGGCTTTGATGGAGTGGCCAAGGCCTCTGCCCTCCCCCAGCCGGACGCAGTGGCCAGCTGGGAGCCTTCTGCTTTCAAGCTGTCCCAAGCAGTTCTCCCAAGCAGAACTTTTCTGGAACCCTCCAGAATGTGTCACTGTGGAAGACACCCCACTTCCTGGGGGCCCTGCCCCCACTCAGGGCAGCCATGCTGATAAAGGACCTGGGCCGTGACCTGCAGGGACACCCAAGGGGGGGCGCGCGGGAGGGCGGGCGGCGGGTTGGGCCTGGGGGCAGACCGCTGCCTCCTGCTGCCGCCCTGGCGCCTGGGGTGGGAGCCCCGGGGGCTGTGCACCGGCTCTGGCCCAGCGGTTCTCAGAGGGCGGTTGCCGAGCAGCCGCAGGCCGCAATGTGCCCTCTGGGAGGGCGCGGGCCGCGGCCCGGGCTGAGGCAGTCGGGGGGCCGGCAGGACTTACCGAGAAGTCCGAGTCTTCGGCCCTCAGGTGGTCGGCGATGTACTGGACGCCCTCCGCAGCCCGCACCAGGGCGGGCGACAGGGCCGGGGCCCGGGGGCTGCCGGCCGGGGGGCCGGGGCATGGGGTGGCGGCCGGCTCCTGCTTGCACTTGCATTTACAGGGAGATGACGGGGCTGCGGCCGGGGGCTGGGCCGGGGGCGCCTTCAGCGGGGAGAGGGCGCTGGCTGCCAGGCCGCTGGCCTCCGGGGTGGCGCCCTCTCGGGGAAAACAGTCCTGGATGCTCCGGGACCGGCACCGGACGCTGCCCTCCGCTGCCCTGGGGCTGGACATGTGCTGGACGCTCAGGGACCGGGCCTTGGGGAGCCCGGGGGCCCGGGGGCTGGGGGGCCGGCGGGGATGGCCCGGCGCGGGGGGCGGGCTGGCCGTCTCGGGCGGTACGGGGGCCTGGCCTGAGGGCGCTGGCGGGGCGGGGCGGTGGGGCGCGGGCCGGGGGCGCGGGGCGTCCGCTGTCTTGTGCAGGGACTCGATGAGCTGGCGGCAGCTGCCCTTCACCGCGGACGGCCGCTTCATGAAGAGCAGGCGCGGCACCAGGTCCAGGAAGAGCCGGCGCGCCCAGGCGGGCATGCTGTGCGCGCGCGGCGAGCGGTGGTGGACGTTGAGCACGAAGACCGTGATGACGATGGACAGCGTGACGAAGATCATGGTGAAGAGCAGGTACTCGCCGACGAGCGGGATGACCAGCGAGGTGGACGGGATGATCTCGGTGATGAGCAGCAGGAAGACGGTGAGCGAGAGCAGCACGGAGATGCAGAGCGTGATCTTCTCGCCGCAGTCGGAGGGCAGGTAGAAGACCAGCACGGTCAGGCAGGAGATGAGCAGGCAGGGCACCAGCAGGTTGACCGTGTAGAAGAGCGGCAGGCGCCGGATGATGAAGGCGTAGGTGATGTCGGGGTACACCTCCGCGCAGCACTCGTACTTGCGGGTGTTATAGGTGCCCCGGGCGTCCACGATCACCCACTCGCCGCTCTCCCAGAAGTCCAGCTGGTCCACGCGGTTGTGCATGCTGACCAGGTCGATCTTGGCCTTGTCGTAGGTCCAGGAGCCGAACTTCATGGTGCAGTTCTGCTGGTCGAAGGGGAAGAAGGTGACGTCGATGCTGCAGGAGCTCTTGTAGATGGCGGGCGGCGTCCACCGCACGCGGCCGTCGTGGAAGAGGTGAGCTTTGGTCAGGTGCGTCACCGCGAAATCCCCGTCGGCGCTGGCGGGAGAGAGCGCGTGACCGGCCGCGGCAGCCGGGAAGGAGGAGGCGGGGAGGGCCCAGCCCCTGCCCGAGGGCAGCCCTGGAGCCCGGCTGGCCGCCACACCCCCAGCCCTTGCCCACCCAGTGCCCTCTCTCCAGCCTCAGGCTCTGAGGCGGGGCTGGCCTCTCACGCAGCGGGCAGACCAGGGCCCGAGGGCCCCACCAGCCGCCCGGCTCTCCACCCCGGCCCCGCCCGCCCCAGGCCGCAGCCCCCGGCCCACTTGTTGTAGAGCACAATGTCCGGCCTCCAGATGAGCTCCGAGGGGATGCGCACGGAGGTCACGTTCTCGTAGAGGGCGGGGTCCCAGCGCAGCTTGTAGTCATGCCACTCCTGCGCGGGGAGGGGGGGGGTCAGGCTGGGAGGGGGAGGGGGGCACATGGGGGGCAGGGCCCCCCCACTCACCTGCTTCACCCACACGTTGGTGGTCATCATCTGGTTCTTCTCGTCCTGGGACACAGAGGGGCGTCATGACCCTGGGGGGGCCGCGAGCCCCTCCTCGCCAGGACAGGACGGTCAGGCCGGGTCAGCGCCTGGATGGCAGCCTCAGGACCAGGACAAGGGATGAGGCTCTGGGGCCTCGCAGCAGCAGGGGGGCACCCCCCACCCCCGAGGCGTTGGAGAAGCTGCCTCTCTTGTGGGCCACACGAGGCCCCGCCCACCCAGTCCCTCCCTGCTGGCCAGGGGGCCTCCAAGGCTTGCAGCAGACAGGGGAGCACCTGGGGCCGGAGGGGCGCCACGTGAGGACGGTGGGCGTGGTCAGAGCCGGGCCAGCCTTGGCAAGTCCGAATGCTGCCCAGAGATGCCCCCACCCCCACATGAGGCCGGGTGAGGCTCTCAGGACCGGTGCTCCAGCTGGCCCCTCCAGGGCACCCTGGGCCCGGGCGGCCACCCTCCCTCTGCAGACCTCAGAGGGGTCACTGCCATCGCCGCAGCAGGAGCACTGGAGAAGCCAGGGAGGCGGGGCTGGATGGGGGGGGGGCACTGCATGCGGCAGGGGCAGGTCCAAGCTGGGTCTCTGCTCCAAGGGGTCCCCAGAGCAGGCGCTTTGCCCATCACCCTCCCCCCTTGAGGTTGCCCATTCAGCTGAGGTGCCCACCCACACACCCCACAGGGGAGGGCCCCACCCAGGCTGCCGTGGCCCAGCGCCAGCCTGAGCAGGCCTCGGGGTGGCTGGGCCCCGGCAGTGTGCGGGATGGGCCTTTGGGGGATGGCAGACCCCTGCAGCGGCAGACTCGGGCTCCCCTTAGTGTGGGGAGCCCCTCAAGTCCCACAGACCCTGTGAGTGGGCACCCAGCAGGCAGGGGACCACACTCCGAGGGCTGGGGACCGCACACTCAGGTCACCCACTCCGGCCGCCCCCAGGATGGGCCGTGGCCACACGGAGCAGCCCCCAAGCCACAGCCGCTCGGGCCGGTGCCCCCCCCCGTCTCCCAGCCCCCACGGCAACGTGAAAGAAACACAGACAAGGATCCCGCGGGAGACCTTCCCGGACCCCGCGTTCCGGACCCGTGGTGCGGGGCCCTATCCAGGCCTCACGGAGCTCCCGCCCGGCCCCTGCCCTGTCCTCCCTGCGGTTCCTGCTCTTCGCCCCGAGGACTTGCCCAGGCCTTCTCTTTGGGGGGGTGTCCTGCCTGCCAGGGCCTGCTTCTGGCCGGGTTCAGGGCGGGCAGCGCTGGGCCACCAGCCCGGCCCCTCAGCGCCCCGCCCCGCTCACGCACCACGTCGATGAGCTGCGCGATGGACAGGCCGAAGCGCACGAGCACCACATCCGAGGTGTTGGCCACCGGCCGGGACCACTTGTTGTAGCCGGAGAAGAGCTCCTTCAGCAGCCGCTCCTCGGCGTGCGCCCGGGGCTCCACGCGGCCGTCGGCTGGGGGGAGGCGGGCGCTGGGGTCACGAGAGCCTCGGCCCCCACCCCACTGGCGCTGGCCCGCCCCCGCCTCCATGTCCCTCTGGGAGCCTTTGCAGGGCCCTCGGGGTGAGGGCTCTCGCCTCGGTGACCCCACGCTGCTGCCGGGCGGGCACCCCAGGCCCTCGGGTGCCCTGGCCACTTGTGCTGCGTTGCTGCATCGCGGGGGGGCAGAAACCCGGCTCCTCTCAGCACCTTCCTGCTCACCTGTAAGTCAGAGCCTGCACCTTGGGGGGCTCACAAGCACCCCTGAGGCAGGGACCCTAATTTTATTCTTCCTTTGACCAGGATGGGGTACCCGCCCTGCTGGGAGACCAGCCTTAAATGCATCCCCCCACCCTGGAAAGCAAGGTGGCTGGGGGAACCCGGGAGGGGGCCCAGAGAGGGCAGGCGGCTGGGCCAAGGGCAGCGGTTCCCCCCGGGGCCCCAGCCCGGGACAGATAGGAGGGTCTGCAGGGAAATTTGGCCCTTGAAAGGGGGTGCGGGACGAGCTGCGCCTCTGCCCAAGTAGGAGCTGGGGGGCGCCCCGCTCCGCCGAGCCCCCTCCCGCCCCTCCCGGCGCGGCGCGGTTAACCCTCTCCGGGCGGCCGAGCTGCGGGGCGGCCTGGCCTGGGGGGAGCCCCGGCCCGGGACGCAGCCGGAGCCCCGGGAGGGCGCCCCGGGAGGGCGCGGGGAGGTGGCGCCCGCACTCACCGGGCAGGAGGCGGCCGGCCCCCAGCAGCAGCAGCAGCAGCGGCAGCCGCGGCGCGCGCGAGCCCCCGAGCCCCATGGCGCCCCGAGCGGGTCTAGACGCGGGCGGCTCCCGGCTCCGCCGCGCCCGCTTCCTGCCCCGCGCCCCGCGGGCCGCTGCCTCCCCGGCTGGCGCGGCGGCGGCTCGGCCGGAGCGCGGGGCTGTGGGCTCGGCGGCGCCCCGCCCGCCCCGCCCCGCCCCGCCCCGCCGGCCCCCGCCCCCCTGCCCGCCGCCGGCCCGCGAGGGGGGAGCGGGCGCGCGAGGAGCGCGGGCGCGGGGCGCGGGGCGCAGCTCCCCTGGGCCTCGGGACGGCGCCGGGCCGACTCCGGACCGCGAGACACCCCGCACCCCGGCCAGCGCCCGCGCCCCCCGCCCCCCGCCCCCCCGCCGGCCTGGGGGGCTGGCGCGAGCCGGGGCGCCCTCGGATCAGGCTGACCGCGGCCAGAGCCGCCGGCGCCCGCGTCCTGCCTGCCCAGGGGGGCGGCCGCGCGGGGAGCGTGGGGAGCCCGCGTGCCCAGGGCGCCCTTTCTAGGGAGCGGGCGAGCCCGAGCGCCGGCCGCCGCCTCCTGGGCCCCCGGGCGCACCCCCTCCCGCCGAGGCGCGTTGGCGGGGGTCTCGGCCGGCGCCCCCAGACCGCCTTGAACGAGATCGGCCACCAGCGATGCCCGGGCGCTGGCCGTGGCTGCCCCCAGGTGGGGTGCGCCGGGCGGGGAGGCTGCCAGGTGGGGCGGAGGGAGCGGCATGCCCGGCAGAAAGGCTGGCCCCAGCGCCACGCGCCGCGCCCCAAAACAGAATGCAGGTCGGGCTGGGCACAGAGACCCCCCAGATGGCCCTGGGCCTCGTGCCCCCCCACCCCCACCCGGGGCAGGCTGGAGAGGGGTTGGCTGGTGGGGAGGGGCCGCCCACCCCATGGCTGCTCTGCCAGCTGACCTCCCCCAGCCTCACCCCTGCCGGGGCCTGGCTGGGCTCGCTTCCCTCCCCACCCCCACCCCATCCCTCCAGCATGCCCAGGTGCACCCCCGGGGAGCACCTGCATGGAGCAGGGAGGTGGGAGGACTTTTCAGTGCTCAGCCTGGCAGTGCTGGTCACCCCCGCAGCGCTCACTTCCCGTTGGGGAGCTTCCAAAGGCCTCACTGAGCCCCGACAGCAGCAGCTCCATCTCCACACCTCAGAGAGGTTAAGCTGCTGCCCTGAGGTCGCAGGGCAGGGGGCACTTCTGGCCAGGGTCACCTGGCTTTGCAGGGTTTGCAGGCTGAGCTGCCCTGGTTTCTGGCATAACTTGTCCAGGCTGACCTATGCCCCTGTGGCGATGACCCCAGGGCCCCCAGTGGGCTGTCCTTTCCTGGAGCCAAGGGCAGCCGGCCCAGGACACAGGCCTCCTCGCAGAACTCCAGGCTGCCCAGCCCAGGGCACCTCTCCTGGGCCTGGTCTGGCCTGTTGTCCTGCTTCTGCAGGCACGGCCCTTCCAAGCCACAGCGCCGTCTGGGCCTCCCGGGTGAAGCCGCTCCTACTGCCCACCCTGTGCTGGGAACAGAAGGGTCCCCAGGCTGATGGGAGGTGCCGGCTGTCCAGTTTTTGAGACAAGGCCAGGGCACAGGCCTCGGGAGCCCCAGGGCTGAGTGCAGGGAGGGCGACAAGTGCTGGTAGCTCTGGGTGGCACCGGTGTGGGGCCCCTTCTTGAGACCCCCGGCACTGTGCGGGGGTGGCACGCCTGCCTCCGGGCAGCAGGCCCCATTCCAGGTCCATTTGTTTGCTGGCAATAGTAGAGGCCCTTCCGGAAGTCTCTCCCAGGCCCAGTGGCCTCGAGAGGAGGGCCGCGGGCCGGCCCCGCGGTGATGACATTGGCCTAGTCCCCACCCCCTGTGGCAAACCCGCATCCTGCTGGTGAGGATTTACCCTCATGCCTCGTGCAGCTCCTCCCAGGCTGGTTAGGGTCGGTGCACCTGCGAGTGGTAGGCTGGAGCAGGGGGGAGCAGTGTGGACCGGCAGCCCATGGAGGCTTCCTGGAGGAGGCACACAGGGCCCGGGAGACCTGGGCGGCCACTCGGAGCTGTGCACAGGGAAGTGCTAGGAGTCGGCTTCAGTTCCAGATTCTGGTACCCTCCCCCCACCCCCGATCTGCTGTTTCTGGTGCTGGCTCCAGGCCGCAGCAATGCAGAGGCTCCCACCTCAGAGCGGCCTGGCCACCCCGGCCCGGCTTGGACCCCTGGGCTTCCTTTCCCAGTGGGGACGGACGCACACAGGTGTGTGTGCACAGGGGAGCTAGCTGCTCACGGGCTGAGTTGGGGGTTTTCTGGCCCCCCCACCCCCTGGCCAGCTCAGGCAGGCGAGGTGCTGGTTCCTGCAGCAGGGGTTAGCCAAGGAGCCCAGGGAGGCGGGAAGGCCTGTCTCCTGGCACCAGAGGCCAGGCCGGGGTCAGTGCTGACCCTGGCCCGGGAACATGCCGGGGCTGCGTGCCGGCTCACACATCTGTGCGACCTCACCCGGCTCTCCCTGCGGATTTGCTAACGCGACAAGATTAATCGGGTCTAACTCATGAATTTGCAGGCCCTCCCTCCCACCTGCGCCCGGCTGGAGGCTGGTTCTGGGGCAGAATCACAGCCAATGAATCAGATCCCTGCTCTGGGCTCCGCTCCCCCCCCCCCCCCCCCCCCCCCCGCCCCGCTGCTCCCGGAGCTGCTGCTTCAGAGGGAGGGAAAAGCCCCAATTCACAAACCACCAGAGCAGCTGTGGGACCGGTAGCCCTTGCCTTGGGGGGTCCCCTGTGGGATCTCCAGTGGCCCCGGGGGAGGGGAGGACGAAGAAAGGCCCCACCCCTACCCACGGTGGTGTCCTCTGGGCCCACAGGAACCCTCAGCCGCCCCCCTCCCTGTGCCCTTTCCACCCTCCACCCTGTCCCAAGGACATTTCCATGGCAACCCATCTTGATGAAAACAAGCCTCTGAAGTAGAGGTGGGAGCTTGGCCAGAGCCTGGGGCCCCGGTGGTGGGCGGGGGGGGGGGGGCGGGGGGGGGGGGACAGGACAGCCCAGCCGCAGTGGGCAGTGCCCGCACTCCCCAGGGGCTGGTGCTCAGCCGCGGCCAGCAGAGGGGGCTCCATCCCTGCCCTGCCCAGACTTCCGTCCCTGGACCGGCCTGGCAGCCCCCATTTTTATCCTGGGGTGCCTAGCACCCTCCAAAGCCTGAGTGCCCTGGGAGTTGCTGAGCGCCCCGTCTGTGAGCTCTGGAGGGCTCGCCTGCTCCTCTCCCGCCCCCTCCTGCGCCTCCTGCCGCTCCTCGCCGGGCGCCGCGGGCCTGGCCGTCCATCCCGTCAGGTCACCAGGCTCCAGGCTCCGTGCACACCCTTGTTTCCTGGAGGGGGCTGGGCAAGGGCGCGGAGTGGGGAGAGGGTGGACGGTGGGTGGAGGGAGGGTGGACTGTGGTGAGTGGACCAGCGGTGGGCGGAGGGGTGCTGCTCGGGAGGGTGTAACGGGCGTCCAGAGGGCCTCGCTCCTTCCTCGCGGCGGCCCTCACTGCAGAGCCTGGCGCTCCAGGCCGCGGCCGCCTCTGTGCTGGGGCAGCCGGAGCGGGCACACGGACAACCTGGCTTTAGCCCCAAAGCTGCCCAGGAGGCCAGGCTCAGGATGCGCAGGAGCAGAGGCCCCAGGGACCCCGGAGAAGAGGAGATGGGGAACCCCAAGGGGGTGAGAGGGCTCTGAGAGGCTGGGACGCCCCCAACCAGGCCCCAGAGGCCCAGCGCTGGCCCCTCCCCGCAGGGCCCCTCCCCACCACCCTGGCTTCCACTGCTCCTGTCCTCAGCCACAGCAACCTCCGGGGGACATGCTGGACCCTCTGCCCCGTCCAGGGCCTGGAGCCAGATGGGGCAGCACCCCTGGCCTGCCCGGGAGCTGGCCCCCGAGGCACAGCAGGCCCCGAGGCCGTCCTGGCGTCTCCGTGGGCGAGGGCACGCTCTCTTGCTGGTGCGTCCTGATGCGTGTCCCCGTGGCCCGAGAGTCACAGGCATCCGGGGATCTTACTGCTCTGTGAGCGCGCGACACAGCAGGCCAGCCTCCGGGGAGGGCTGCTTCTCCCTGCTCTCGGCTCCCACTCCTCACCGCCTCCTGGGCCCCCAGCCCACGGCTTGGCCCAGCTGCCTGTGCCGGGCTCCGCAGAGCCCGTCTGCACCTCTCTGCAGAGACAGCGTCCACGGGTCTCTCCTCCCAGTGTGGTCACCGCCTGCTTGGGGCAGCG